CAAGGGTCACTGCAACAAGACTTGGAATGGTGCATTCTCATGCCCAGGTGCTCCTTCCTTGTGCTTCCTGGCTGTGATGTGGTGAGAAGCTTCCCTCTACCATGCATTCTGCCAGCGCTGGCCTGACAGAAGTCGGGTGGCCACGGGCTGAATCCACCGGAACTGTGAGCTAATATAAACCTCTCCTGCTCCAAGCTATGGGTGTTGGAAACTCTGTTCCAAGAACGAGAAAGTAACTAATCCAGGCTGAGGCCATTACTATGACTCTTATCTAACCATATGGTTCTGAAGCCTTTAGAAGTTTTTTATGCAAAGAATTTGGAAAGATTTGGAGATTTGGGCTAGCGAAACTTTAGAATGCCATAAGAACAGCTTGATGTATGATACTGGTTAGAACTTGCAATGCTGAAAGGAATTCAGAGAGTAAAAACCAGTGTTAGGAGGTTTCATTTAGGAACAAGTTTAGACCCCACCAGCTGTTGGAGGTGAGGCCATCTGTGTTATTCTCTAGCAGGAAATCTTACCCATGTTCTGAGACTTTCTGGGAGACTAAGATTAACACTTTCATGGTGGAGCCATAATTCATGTGTCTCACCACCAGGCAGCTCGGATTTGAATTCCATCATCTGACGTTGTTTGGCTAATCTACATATGCTCTTTTGATAATATAACATGCTAAAACAGAAACAGTCATTGATGTTTCATGGCTAGATCATTAAACTCAGTGGTAAATTTCTCTTTTATTGCTCTGTGTTGTTCCTTGGTGGTTCTCATTTTCATTTGGAATTTTCATTTGTAAGAAATATATTATTTTGTATGCATATATGTATATTATAACCTATCCATTTTTCCATTTTAAGAGTATTTCCATTTTGTAAAATTTTTTCCCAACAGAGTGTCAAACACCAAAAATGGATGATTCATGAGATAAATCTGCAACTGTATTTTATGACAGAAAAAGTCATGACCTATACATTACTCTTCAGATGAAGAGGCAATCGAGGTAAATGAATGTAATCTTGTGGCTAATACATTCACTGACCACAGTGCAGATGTGGACATGAATGTAGAAGATCAAAAAGGGGGGCTGGAGATTTAGCTCAGCGGCATAAGCACCTGCCTTGCAAGCAGGCAGTCGTGAGTTCAATCCCTGGTACCGATAAAAAAGGAAAAAGACAAAAAAAAAAAAAAAAAAAGAACGGTACCCAACATGGTGACAGAACATGAGCACACAGAATTGTAAAATGCAGAACTACTCATAAGAAATATTCACTGCAGTGATCCTTTTGCATTGTGCAAATTATTCATAATATACTGAAAATTATAGGTGAAGAAACAAATGGATAAGCCATTCAGTGCAGCTCTAGTGCAAAAAAACAAAAAAAAATATAGCAATCCTGGGAATCCATTACAATTAATGAGATGAAAACTTGTAGGTATACTATTAATTATATTAATAGTATAATTAACAGATACTAGATTACATAATATAATATAATATAATATTATAACAATAATTTATATTATATTATATAATAATTTATATATACATATCAAATTATAATATATTATAATATATAAATTATTGTTATACTATAATACATTGTGCCATAACAATAATATAAATTATATTTGCTTAATGATTACACCTATGATTAAATGTCTATGCTATAAAAAGTACAACCCCTCCAATGCATGAGCATTTTTAGGTTTTTCTTAAATTACTGAATGACTTATCATTTGAACACTTCATAATATACGCAGACAGTTATTATCCAAGTATACCCCTAGCACAAGAACTTCTATTGTAAAAATACATTTTTGTGGCACAAAACAGCCAAATTGAAGATTTTTACCAGTACAAGAATGGATAAAGCAAGGACATGTCAAAATCATAAGTTTTGGAAATTCTGGCACAAAATTTGTTAACTGGATTGATAAAAGAATTATATGTATATTAACAATTTGTAAAAATCATAACCATACAATGATTAAAAGAAAGCTTGGAAGTATAAACTCTGGTCTTTTCTTTAATTATAATAATGCAAAAAAAAAAGGTGTTGATTTAGCAGACCAGATGTCATCATATTACACTTTCTTAAGGGGAACAGTAAAATGGTATTAAAAAAATTAATACAGCAAATTTGAGGTATAGCACTTGTAAATTCATATTATATACATGAGCAACAGGGTACCTATAAGATTTCCATGTTAAAATGTAGAGAGTTAATTACCACTAAACTATGAACTCATGAAGAAATGAAACAGGTACAAATCACTCAACAAAGCATTCACTTTAGAGAAGCTTATTTAGGATTGGAAAGAAATACACAAAAGCAGCATAGAGAATGGTATTAAAACTTCTCAGAAAAAATGGATGCCACTGTGACCACAAATAAGCCAAACACAGTATGACATTTTTGCATGCTGCACAAATCAGCCACTTTCATGTACAAAAGTTTTAAAGAAATTCAAAAATATAATAAATTTCTTTCAATGAAATAAATTTGTTATTATAATTTTAATTGGAGTGACTAGTATTAATATTTATTTGGGGCAGTAATTATTTAAATTCAAGTGATTAAATTCAGTCTATTTATACGCTTTTTATTAATTTTATAAGTAAAAAGACCAGTAAAAGAGATTAGATACATTTGTTCTACTAATGTCCAATGGGACAGTCGTACATGTAGCACCCAGTGGTTCAAGCCGGTGGAGTATGTTCAGGGCTGCAGATTAATCCAGTGGAGAAAATTTCAAGATAGCCCAACACAGAGGCTGTGGTATGAGTACTACTGACTGCTTTTAGCTAGATGTGCAGTAAAAGTCAGAAGCAAATAGCAGAGCTAAATACTATGAAAAGACTGCAGTTTCACCAGAAAAGAACTGCCTAGTGAGGGGAATAAGGAAAGCTTGACTGGTATAAAAATCAGCATTTAAAAGAAGCCAAGTCCTTTTAAATGGACAAGAAAAAAGATGCCTTGAAAACATCTCAGAAATCAGTAAGACCTCACCCATCATAGGTCTAGGGTGCAAACATGTAAACCTTTTATTTGAGATAAGAATTCCTGGAGTGTCTCTCATGCAGGGCCAGAAGTCTATCCCTAAGATCAGCCATCTAGGCACTGAGAGGTCACAGCAGTCATGGTCCAAGGGGCCTGGTTACTGTTCAAGGTGACCTTGACATCATTCATTTCATATGGGTTTGATCATGCAGAATACAAGGGTTATGGAGTCTGGAGACTTCCACTCAGACTTCACAAGAAGGCCAGAGAGGCCAAGTAAAAGAAAATGTGTAACCGAGTCGCAGTCCCTGCCAGGGGCCCATGAGAAGGCAATGTGTGAAGGTCTGAGAGCAAAGCCAAAGGTGTACTGGAGACCCACGGAGTTGGAGACGCAGGAATGTGGAAAGTCTGATGGAAAAAAAGCTGCAGGCCAGTCTAAAGGAAGGCCACAGGGGCTGCAACCAGAAAGATCATAGAGGAAACGCTGCCCAAACCCTTTGGGGCTTACATCTTACCACACCCTGCCCTCTGTGCAGCCACAGGATTTAATGTTTGCCCCACTGGGTTTTGGTCTTGCTTGGGTCTGATCTGTTTCTATCTCCCTATTCCTCTCTTTAGAATGAGGCTGTTTATCCTGTGCCATTGTGTGACAGAAATATTTTAAGTTTCTTTTGTCTTTCCTAAGAGGTCACAGCTAAGAGTTTCCTTTGAGTCTCAGAGGAGACTTTAGATTTGGAGTTGTCAGCAATGTTGACTCTGTTAAGACTGGAAACTCAGAGATGGACTAAATATATTTTGTGTAATGTGATACAAAAGTATCTTTGGGGGTCCAGGAACAGATTATTATAGTTTAGATCTAAAATGTCCCCCAAATCAGAATGTAGGACCTGGTCATAAGGGGAGGGTCACTGGAAGCATTACTGTAGGGTGCATGTCCATCCTTTCCTTCTCCCTGCTCTCTGCCTCCTGGCCACCAGGTAGTGAGCAGCCTTTTTTCATCAGGCCGTCACTGTACCATTTCTGCCTCTGAGACCTGAACCCACTGAAACTGTCAGCCAAAACAAACCTCTCCTCCACTGAGCTGCAGTATCTGGTATTTTGTCCTGGGAACAGGAAAATGACTCACACAGGCAGCATCTTAGCAGTGGCACCTTAAGTGATCTACAAAGCCACAAGCTCTTGCTTGAGTTCTGTCCTTGGGGTTGTGTAGAGACACAGACGACCTTTACCAGCTGGACTCATGGCCTCCGAAGCTGTGCAAACAGGAACCTCTCTACTAAATCTCCCTCTTTTAAAAGTGCAATTTCCCAACGTCTATTCCTAGCACTTTTACAAAATATTCCATCTAGAAGGGAGGCTGTGGGTACCGCCAGGAACTTGTTAAATGTCATGTCAAGCAGAGTCTTATTGTCCTATCAAACAGCTGCACAGGTCACTGGTTAACCCTGACTCAGCTTTTGTTCCTGGTCTACCCAGTGGATGTAAGCCATGGTGGGTGGAACAGGCTGTCTATAAAATATACAAAAACCATGTAGTTCAATTCTCCCTTTGTGAGCTGGTAGCATCTCAGTGTCGGGAATTAAGAAGATATATACTTAATTCAACTCCTAACACTTGAGTGTTTTGAGTTTTATTCCAGAATTAAATTCCCAAGTCTCCCTAGTAACCTACAATTGGGGTTTACCATCATCACTTAATATAAATTGTAAGTCTCATTATTTTCTGTACTTTGCATTTTATGACGAAAGCTAAGCCAGGTTAATACTATCACATTTAAATTGCACAACTGTAGGTGAGTAAAATATCATCATGAAGCAATATTCTAAGCCTACTACTTTGATGTTGAAAGATAAAGCTTTATAATATCTACTCAAAATAAATTGTAAAATAAAAAGCTTCATAATTGGCTTTCATAAAAAATCAGGTTAGTAATCACAGTAGACACGAAAGGTTTAGCACAGCTATTTCAGATGCAACTTTTGAAAAACTACTTACATCCAAAGAATCCTCCTTCAGTAGGATAAGGGCCATATTTTGTGATACCAATCGGCAGGAATATCCTAAAATAGAGAAGGGATAAATGTGAGTCTATCACTCCTCCTGTGAGTCTCTACGCTGTCAACGGCTAATTGGATTTAACCTTCCTTCTTAAATCTACTTTACTACCAACTGAGCGCATTGGTTCATACAGAGGAACAGGGCAAAGATGCAGGAAACATAAGTCTAAATTGATTTTGGTTCTTCTAGACAGTGTGAATAGAACGGACTGAGAAGGTCTTTCTAATTAAAAACTAAAACATCAAATTTCAGTGGCCTTTTCTTTATGCTTTTTCTCCTTTTATAACATTAAAATAAGCCTCAGGTTATCTAAACTAAAAGCAAACACATTAGGAAGACAAACAATCTAACAGTGCGCCTAACAGCATAAATGTGCTCACTAGAATCACAAAATCCCTGTTTGCTTTTTTAGTTATTTATTTATTTTTGGCTTTTTGAGATAGGATTTCACTATGTAGTCCAGGTCAGCCTCAAACCCATGGCAATCCTCCTGCTTCAGCCTCCAGAATGCTGGGATTACAGGTGCGTGCCACCATGCCCAGCTCTGTTTGCTTTTTTAAAGTAGCTAATTCTTACATGTTCTGAAGCAATATTATTGAATTATGCCAACACTTCAAAGTAATCCCTATTTCAAGAATTAAATCTGAGGTGTTTTTTTTTTACATTTATCTGAAACAAAAGCATTCCAAATCAGCACCCACAGTTCCCCCCTCACCTTTAAATAGATCTATAAGCTAAGACAAGCGTTTTCTTCTTTTCCTCCCAGGACGGGAACATGTTTTCGGTGCTTTCCTACTTGGTGACTGCTGAGAGACCAGGCTAAGAGTCCCCTGACTCCTGCCCGCAAGCCCTCTGCCTGGGAAGGAGACGGCACCTGGCTGTGGCTGCAGGACTCTGGGGTTTCAAATAATCCGCACCCCTCAGCGCCTCACTGAAATCTGGCACGCACAGGGCCAGTCTTCTCTTCTCCATTTATTTCACTAAGAAGTGAAAACAGAATTCAACCAGCTACTGCAGCTTTGCTGCTAACAGCCCTCCCTCGCCCTCCACGGTGTACTTCTAGCTCACTTTCTCCGCTTCCACTTGGCCCAGGCTTTCTCCGCAGAGCCAGTTTCTCTCTCCTCTTCACTTTTACTTTGGCAAATAAACGCTGCTACCATTTTTCTCTCATTTTGTCCAATTCTTTGTTCAAAATGCGAAGAACCCAGAAATCAGCTCCAGAAGGTGACAAGAGCACCACAAAACTTGATAAGGTTTCTGTGGTGAGCCACTTTTAGAAAGAGACGGTTACAGGCAGCTGAGTTAGTAGAAATAGCACAGGCAGCCAGACAGAGATGGGCCCTCAGGGCAGCCAGTGCAGAGACCACATATCTTGTAACCTTGGAGGAGACAGACACCTCTTCTGGAGCGCAGACCTCAAGGCAAAAGATCCAACAAAATACACTGGATCCTAAGGATTGATATTCTACATAGGTTCGGATGACCTTGAGGAAGCCAAGAGTCACCATCCCAACCCTCTACAGGAAGAGTCACTGCTCTTTAAGCATGCCTGCGTGCTATGTGACTTGCTTCCCCATTGGTTCTCAGTTTAATCAATTTTACCTGAGCAATTACACTCGTAATCTTATTGGTTGGTCATAGTTCTGTCCCACCTCATACCTATCTTGTGAGTTCCCAGTTTTCCCCCACCTTGGACCACTTCATGGTTTTGCTGTATAAAATCCCAGGACTCTGTATAAAAGACAGGGTCCTGGTAACCCAGTCAGGGTTGCCCTTAGACAGTAGCTGTCCCTCTGACAGAAGCTTTCTTTCTCTCAATAAATATATTCTGCTCTTAACTTCTGTTGTTCCTAAAATTCATTCTTCGATATTAGAGAACTTGTACTGGCTGGGAGCAGGCTGGGAGTTTCACTCCCCTATATCAAGACCACCTGGTAACATTTATGGCATAGCCAGCCAGGAGGAAAGCTCAGGTACTGGAGACCAAGGCAAGCCCTGCAGCGAGCAGGTTTTTGTTTTTGTTTTTGTAGGCTGCTGACTTTACTGATCTAAAAACAATGACTGTTCTGAAAAAAAAAAAAAAAAAAAGAGGTGGGGGGGAGCCAAATGGCATCATACAGACCAGAGAGGAGGTGGAAGTGAGGGAAAGAGGCTGGGAATCCACTCGAGAAAGCTGGGAACTGTCACCAAGGAACTGGAAGGGAAGGATGACGAAGGGAAAACGCATGCAAGAGTGACATTTCCAAAAAAGTTGACAGGGTGTGGGGGATAGAACTCCCAAAAGACTCTAAATACATCGGAGGTGAGTACAACAGCAGCAATCTTTTCCATTGCAGAGGAGAGTGATGTGGCCTCAGCTGCAAACTCTAGAGCCTGGGACCCTGGGGATTGAGGGCTCCCCAGACAGCATCACACCACTCCCGCAGGCACCAAAGCAGTCCCAGACCGCCTGGCGTTGGTGCCACACATGCCCTTCAGCCATTCCCGGGACAGGTCTTGATCTTTCTTTAGCACCAGAAATTGACCGAGAACCACACAGGCCTTGTCAAAGTCTCTTTCCTCCAACTTTTTCCCTAGGACTTCACCAATCCCAGCCAGGCTTTTTCTCCTTGGGCTCTGCCATGAAGTTTCTGTGCTTTTTGAACGTTGTTATCCTGATCAGGACTGACCTCTGCTAATGGTTCCTCCCGCTGGCAATTTTTGTTTCTCTCCATGAGGGTTTTCCTAGCTCTCTCCTCCAAGCCAGGAATCTGGTCTCTTCTCAAGGCCCCAGGGAGAGGCTGCCTAGCCAGCCAGAGTGGGAAGGGAATGTCGGCTTTCATTTGTCTTCCTAGTTGCCTGTACCAACTTAACGTGGCCTCCACTTTTCTAAGTAGTTTTTCTCTCAATATATGTGGCATTTGTTTGCTATCCAGGTTGGGGTTTTTTTTTTTTTTTGTTTGTTTGTTTGTTTTTACGCTTTTTGGGGGTTTTTTGGTTTGGTTTTGAAATTAACATGGTCTCTGCTTACCCCAGTTTTATGAATCAATCTTTTTTCTCATTTGTGTTTTGGTGTAATGCTGGGATTAAAGGTGCCAAACCCAGAGTGCCAAACCAATAGGTAGGTTTAGACCTTGCAGGGGTACTCATAAGTGAAATAAATGAGACAAACATGTAAATATCACACTGTCTCTCTGGTGTCAGAAACTGAAAGTGTAAATAAGAACCAAAGTGCCTAATAGGTATTGTGAAATAGGAAGAAACTGTTCAAAAGGAAAGGGAAACTAGGGAGGGAGAAGGGAAGGAAAAAGAAGAAAAAGGATAAGACAGAAACAAAACTATAAATAAGGAGGGGAAGGGGTTGAAAGGAGGGAAATGGGGAAAAAAAGTACCAAAATACATCCCGTATAGGGACAAATGGGATCATTATGTCTAAGTGGCACCAATAACTTAGTAATAATAACAATTAAAATAAATGAGTAGGCTTAGAGCCTGCACGGATTCACATAGCTACATGTGGGCTTACATCAATCACCACCATCTTTTTCTTTTTTACTAACTGTCCTCCTGATCAAAACCTCTGATTTTGGAGAACAAGTAGAAAGAGAGGTCTTGATCTTTCTTTAGCACCAGAAATTGACCAAGAACCACATAGGCCATTTTCTTTCTGAGTTAATTTAACTATCACTGTGACCCACATGGAAAAGAAAAAAATCATCCATTTTAAAAGGATACACCCAAGGCTTTTGCCTGGGCAGAGCAATGACCCTAGCTTTAGCTCACCCACTTCCTCTCTACAGCCTCCTGGCCGGATTTCTTCCTTGTTCAAGTACAAGTAATTTAAAACCCTATGCCTGACAACCTAATCTGAATAGACAATGTTGAAAATTTCATTACAGAGGCTGTGAGTACACAAAACTGAGGCACCCTTTTCTTAGTCTAGACATCTCCTCCTCCCGATAGGGCCCCCAAGCCAAGCCAATGGGCAAGCTCTTGAGCCTCACTGCCAGCTCTGCCACCCCTTCTTCTTGAGGAGTGGGAGGTTTGATCCTGACAATCTGAAACAGGAACAGCTTATCTACGGCTGCATTACGGTTTGGGTTCAGTACAAACTGGGAGGTGGCAAAAGATGAATACATGATGGTACTTTAAATTACTCTGCAGTAAAGTTTCTGCTTAAAACATACAAGTGGAATGAAATGTCTTATGTTCAGGTTTTGTGACTCCGTATCAAAAGGAATGTGCAAGAACTATGGATGTCAGAAGAGGAGAAAAAATGGCGGCTTGCTAGGGGGCTGGGTACAGAGTCTCTGTGGAGAAATCAGATCAGATGCTAGAGTATGACAACATGGAGAGGGCCAGATGAATGGATAACAATTCTTATTAACCAAGGTGGTAACCGAAGGGAAAAATAAAACTAGGAAGAGAAAGGAAAAGCACGGCTAGAGAGCTGAAGCCCGACACATTCACTGAGACCTGTTCTGTGCTGTACTAGGCTGCTCAGAGGATCCAAAGTCACGCTGAGACCACAGCTGCTGATAACGGGAGTCGGCGAATCCCAGGCCCTTAATGGGAGGACATGGTGCAGTGAGCAGTGGATCCAAGCGGAAGAGCTACATTGGCTCTCAGCGACTGCTGAAAATTGGGACCTGGGACCCTGCGAAGCAGCCAGAGCCACCTGGCCCAGCCAGAGGAGACTGCAAGAGGACCATACACTGGGGTCCAAAGCTGGGCACTGCGCAGTTTTCTGACCCATCCGCACTGTGCTGGGAGCACAGTGAAGACATGCAGTGCAGTGTGCAGTGGACCCACGACGAGGAATAGCACTGATTCTCGGTAAGTGCTAGGGCCTGGGTCCTGCAGCTGCTGTCGCTGGCTGGAGAACATCTTGGAGTTGGGCAGAGCCTGGCGCTGCAGTGACATCAGATAGTCACCCCTGATGCAGAGAGGACTGGTGGAGGACATCTTGGAGTTGGGCAGAGCCCAGTGCCATGGTGACATCAGTCAGCCGCCGCTGGCACAG